AATATTTATCGATAATGTTATCGACATTTTAACGCTTTCAAATAGAATAAAAAAGGGAACTATTTCAGCATTCAAATTAAAAATATAGCGATATCGCGATCGTCCAATGTATACATATATGTATACGAAATAGACCCTAACCGCCAAATAACGTAAATATTTTTTTTTTTTTCAAAATTTACTTTGCTCCTTAATCATCTACATAGTTTACTTTTTACATCAAAACGAAAGTTAAAACAAAAATGTTGCCTACGTTTTTTGTGGGTTAGGGTTTGATGTGTTTACCTTTTGTTGTCGAATACATGAATATATTTGTCGAAAATATTGTTTAATTATTATTTTTTATTTTGTTTGATTATTCGGAACAATAAATGAAGGATGGCACAACCGGTTAGCCTTTTTTAATTAATTTTTAAATTTATATTTTTTAATGTTATCATTTGTTACATAACCACCATAATTGTCATATATATACAATGCATGTATTCCATATGAAATGGGATTGAAAAATGCAGCAAAAGGCAGAGCGCACGTACTATGTAACTCATACGTCACGGTGTACTTTACTGCAGTTAATTCGCCTGCGGCCAACATCGCCGCAGAGTTTCAAACTTGTTAAGCAAGTTTTCGCGTTCTTCACCATGCTACACACCGTAAAGTCAATTCTTCTTTATTGCACATATAAACTTAAATACATATGTTCAAATAACTTGCGCAATTTTTCCAATTTCAACTTCAGAAAAATATTAATTCTCCACTGCATTGGTGTACCAGAGAAACATGGGTATGTATAATAACTCTTAATGCAAGAATAGTACAAGAATGAATACTACAGAAAAAATTTAACAAAAAATTAAGAGCGGAAAAAAGTTAGTTATTAAAAAATAGAATGAATAAAAAATAATAAAATGGTTTCAAAATAACAAACCTAAATGACTGTGGTAAAAACTCAAGGCTGCGAGCGGAAAATACAAGTTTGAGTAGATAAAAAGTTTGCAGTAAAAAATTCTAGAACTACTAAAAATTTTTCTGCACAGAGTTTATAAAATATGTTCATACTTCTTAAAAGTACATGGTTTGAAAGGAAAAAATCAAACTTTTGTAATAACAGCAAAAATTTGTAAGTTTCTATTATTTCTTATTGTAGAATCTTTACTAATGACCCCAAAAAATATACTTGATCGATGTTAATGAGGGATAAGCTTAGTATCCAGGTCGAAATTTTTCTTTAAAAATATCGACTACGGGAATAACGTGCAAGAAATTAGGAGAATATTTAAGTAAGAGTTTAATTATTTGTAGACAGTCAAGCTGAATTCAAGTTTTGTTCAGTTATCTAGATAAATTATATTGAAAACCAGTAATTTTTAACAAAAAAAACCGACTTCAACTCTCATATAAAAAAAAAATATAAATATATATATATATCTCATGATCCGCTGATCGGATCTTAACGAGAACCTCTGAGATACTACCTTTCCGATGCTAAAAGAAATATCGAAATCGGTTCACGTGGTCCAAAGTTATGCGGTAACATACATAAAAAAAAAAAAAAAATATTCCGACGAACTGATAACCTCTTCCTTTTTTGGAAGTCGGTTAAAAAGTAAGTGCCACACAGCAGAAGTAAAACTTACCTTACATATCTATTTTGTCTCATAACCAATACAAATACATACATATGTATATGTATACATCTGCTTTTGCTTAGGGATATATTTTTTGTCTTTTTTCTACCTAGATCCCTACCTCTACCCCTGTTCGTTCTAACTACATTTATGTTATTCCTTTATCTTTTTACTCTATCGATAACAAAATCGATAGTAATATTCAACAAAATTTCGATAACAAACCGTTAAAAATATCTATAAAAAAATCGATCAAAATTTGGATAACAAAATCTATAAAAACATCGATAACAAAATCGATAACAAAATCGATAAAGAAAATCGATAAAAATATCGATTACAAAATGTATAAATAATCTTTAACAAAATTGATAAATAATCGACAACAAAATCGAAAAATAATCGACAACAAAATCTATAACAATGTCGATAACAAAACCAATAACAATATCGATAACAAAATCGTATAAAATATTGATTACAAAATCGATAACAAAATCTATAAAAATATCGATAACAAGATCGATAAAAATGTCGATTATTATATCGTGACAATCCCATTTGTTTTGTTCCTGTCTGGAAGAGTACAAGGCATCGGATTGCTTCTGTTTTGAATTTCTGACCGCCTTTTGCAAGGATTAGGTATACAGCTTTTGATAGCCAGGATAAGAAGGAGTACTCTGCAAAGCCCTAAAGCCAAAAGCCCGACTTATGCATAGATCCAAACCATGGGGAACACAAAAATAGTAGTTAACATAGCACAATGAACAGCATGTAGCTCGAGGGATGATTTCTGAATAGCATTCCAGAATTTTCACCTTTAAAGTGATCAAATTAGTTCGACATTAATTTCAGTGCAGTTCAGTGCCCTGGCAGTTTAGAAACTATGTAAGCGTGTGTGAGTGTACAAGCACACTTTCCCACTCAGAAGGCGCTTTTGTCTAATGAGTACGCATTGTTCATTTGTTTTTCAAATGAAACCATTTCATAGGTATATACCTATATATATGTATACAAGTATATACATACATTCGTGCAAACATTAAACCTTAGATACCAGTCATCTACGCTCAAGCCACAGCACTCTGTAGCCTTTCTCGTAATTTAGCTGCATTAGCAAATGCAGCCTCAGGCTTTCTTGCATTTCTGTGCACGTTAGCGGTTTTCAACGTAGCACTGTGGTAGCATTTTAATGTCGTGCAAGCGCCATGCTTACAAATCTACATACATACCCATATACTCTCAGACAAGAGGCCAAAAAAGCGAGAGCGAGGGTGTTAAAATCAGCGAAAATTGCGTACATTTGCAAATTTTAATGGTGCTGAGAATGAAGATGATGATAATGAGACAAAGCGAAATTGAGCACAGACACATAACCACACCTACAATACATATACACATACATATACATGTATAGTTATAGTAAAGTTATTCATACTTGCATTCCCTTGTAGGGAGTTAAACTGTAAATCAACATTTAGCTGGCATGGCATAGAAGTTAGAGCGTAAGTGAGATAGTGAAGAAATGAAATTAAAGTGCAAAATGCACTAAATTTTCCAGCAAAGCAGGTGTGCATTAATACTTACACATTTACATGTACATACATACATACATACACCAAAAGAGTAACGGTGAAAGCGACTGCGAAATGCATTTACGAGAAAGTCTACTACAGTTGCAGTTGCAGCATTAAGGCATACATATATTTGTAAGCATTTTCAGCTTTATAGATATATACATATGTATATGTATATATGTACGCTTGCTTATGCTTAAGTAAATTTCCCATGCTCTGCCTGACTAAAACGCTTTGCCACAAAATTAAGCAAAAGCAGCAGTAAACGTAGTCGTAAATTGCGCTCACATTAACAAAGTGCTAGAAAATCTGCACATAGTTACACAAATACTTGTACATAGATATGAATATACACAAATGTATGAATGTGCACTCCCATTAGGAATGCTGAAATTAATTTTTGATTTAACGCTCTACAGCAAAAGCGAAACTTTATTTGCGCTCAGTGCTTTGGGAGTGCAGCATTTTTTTTTTTACGCGGAAATATTTAATTTAATTTATTGCCAAGCGCGCACAATCAGTGAAAGCAAAATTGCGGGTGGTTTTATTTATTACGTTTTTTGTTTTTGATATGATTTGAAGCGAAAGAAAGTGTGATAAGCGTGAAAAAAGTGATAGAGAGGCTAGTGATTATTAAGTAAACTTTTTTCGATACTGAATTATGTGCCATTTGAAAAACACACTTTTTTGGTAAGACTTTTTACTTTTACATATGTAATTTTTGGAGTTTTAAATCTAAGACAAAAATGTTTCTATTTATTATGAAGTATTTTTAAGAAAAAACCAACTTACGGATGTGAGAATTTTTTGTTAGGAACTTGCAAAAAAAAAATAAAAAAATGTCTACATAATATAGAAAATAAGAAGAAATTTAAACACTTACAGCCAATTACACCAAAGCAATTTATGTAAAAAATTATTTTCTTTTTTTTTGAATTTTATATGAAATTTGACTGAACATCAAAAAACATTTTCCATTTAAATTGCTGGTGAAACCGGCTGTTTAATATAAAAAAAATTGGAAAAAATTAAAATAATCAAAAGTTTGGTTATATTTCAGTGTCGTTATTTTGAACAAAAAAATAATATAATATTTTGTACACTCAACTTATAACGTGCTTATAAAATAGTAAGCAAACTATTCTAATTAGATTCTCTTTGTAGAAAATGTTTAAACATTACCATATCTGTTCTCTTTCCATTCCGTTATCCTTATTACCCATGCAAAATTAAAACATCTAATTAATTAAACATCTTTTGTCTCATAGTCCATTGAACTGAAATTCATTTGAGCAATCTCTTTCATTCTACTACAACCCCGCCACCATCGTCGGGCACTGACCCAAATGTGTCACGCAGTTCAACCTGCACCAACTACTTACTTATCTACTACCGTGCAAATTATTTCCGTTGTCTTAAGCGGTCAGGCGAGCAGCGCATTGCTTCATCTCGGTCTATTTCGCCTCAGCCGCTTTGAAGAAGTCATTCGCCATTTGAGTAATTTGCCTAATTCTTCACTGCTGCCCAGATGCCTTCGTCCCTGCTGAATTTCTGCCTTCTCTGCAGTATCTAACACCTCCAGCTACTCACCCACTACAACTCTGTAATACATTTTTAATTGTGCACTTTGCATGAAAGAAAAAAGCTGGAGCTTGAGCGCGCATTTAATTAATTTATTCTTATTCATTCAATATGCGGAATACACTTAAGCTTTCAGTACTCGTTTTAACCTCACTTCACAGCGCTTTTTTACATTTTCTTAAAATTTCTTTCTCTCTCTCTTTCATTCTTGCAGGCCGCACGCACGACTCATCTTATGCGCTCTATCACATCGGCCAACAGGCTACAGCGGGTGTTAAGCAATTTGCTGAAACAGGCAAGAGTGATCTGCTGGACAGTATTGCTGGCGAACAGCAACAACAACAAATGCAACAACAACAACTGTTTGAACAGCAAAATGCCGCAAACGGAAATTCATTTGTCGGCTTTGTATCAACGGCCACAGCGAACATAAAGAAAAATGGGGGTGGCGGTGCTGCTGGTGTGGGTGTTGGTGTTGGTGAACGCAGCGTTTTCGACGAATTCAACATACCGGCAGTGCTGACGGGCGATGGCCGACAGGAGACAAAATTCTTTGTGGACAGCAATCACAGTCTAGTATCACTAATGACGCGCATTGTACCATCGCCCGATTGGTTTATCGGCGTCGATTCGTTTCAGGTGAGTGAGTTTGAGTTAAAAAAGGGAGTAAAAACAGACGAGAAGAGTGTGAGAAAGGAACAGAGCGTTCATTTTGGCAAGTTACATAAATTAATAGATGCTGAAAATGGTAAGAGTGCTTAAGGCCGAAGTGGTGTTTGAATTGTATTGTGAGCGGTGTTGCCAGATTTACTTTTCTAAAAACTGTAAATTTCCGGATAAACTATATTTTGACTCATAAGCTTAACGACTCGTATATAAAAAGTGTAGGAGTATATGTTTTATGCGCGACTTGGTAAATAAAACACCCACTGCCTAAAAGTATGCAACACAATATATGCGACAAGTTTGTACTAAATCATAATTCTCAAATGGAGCATCTCAGTATTTATTAAAATTATAAGTTGTAGATTAACACGCTCTGGATGTTCGGTTAGGGTCTCGATTGTTGTAAGACAAGATGGTAACTCTTTTTTTAAATAAAAAATCTAAGGAACAATTGTTAGATGTTCCGAAAATTTTCCTGGAATAAAGATATACATATACAAGTTTGATAAAGTAGTAAATTATTTAAAGTTTTTGTTCCATAAAGGGTCTCCTTGCGTTAATCTTGAATGGTGGGCTAACCAGCAGTGACATGCCGTACCGAAGTTTTAAAGAACTGGTTCTGTCGAGGTCGGTTTCAAGTAGGACCAGGAAACTAGTGTTATTTTAAAATGGTTTTATCTGTTATTTGGACTTATTTTTCGGATTTGCTGAGACCATATTTGGGCTCTTCCGAAACCTGTTTTTTTTGGTTTTTTGGAATGGAGTTTCGAGACCCTTTTCGGGTTTTCCGGTACCGTTTTCCAGTCATTTGGACCCGAATTTTTATTCTTTTGGAATCGAAGTTCGGTTCGTATAGAACCTTTTTTCGGCCCTTGGAGTCCATTTTCGGATTTTTTGGAATCGAGTTTCGGTTCTTTGGGAACCGTGTTCGGGAACTGGTTTTACGGTCATTTGGAAACTAGTTTCGGTTCTTCCAAAACCGTTTTTCGCGTCTTTTGGAATTGAAGTGCGCTACTTCCGGATCCGTTTTAAGGGTTTTTTGGAATCAAGTTTCGCTCCCGTTAGACCCGTTTATCAGATCTAGTAAGAATTTTGTTTTAGGGAATTACTACTAACCAAGTCGAAAGCCACAATGATAATGTAAAATTTATCCCTTGCCGGTTCATAGGGCCTTGTATACTTTATTAAGTAAGCTGATAACGCGTTAGTTGTTGCATGGGAAAGGTTCGCCTTTTTCGGAGATTGGGCATATCCCACTTAAGTTCCAGTCGAAAGGAATGCGTTTGTCCTTGTCGTCAACGTACTTGAATAGCGTGGGTGATAGGCCGTCAGTTCCTTTATTTTCTTTTATTTTTAGTTCGAAAATTGCTACTTGCTATTGTAGTGATGTGGCATATCGCCTTCGTTGTCTTCGATCGGCGCCTACGATACAACTTTTGCACTAGCTTCACCATTATTTGAGCGGGTTGGAGAAACTCGACACCCCTTTCTTCGCGTCCATTAGAGGGAGATTGCAAAAGTGTGAGATCGCTTTTTTGCGGATTACATAGAAACATTCGTCTAACAGGGTGAACAGCAGTAGGTGGTGACATAGTCTCTCTCCCATCATAAATTCAGTATAGATGTTTTGCTCCCTTAATGAGAGCTGTAGGTGTCGAAAGGGTCCACGGTATTTTTATCTTGCCACGTCTATCGCCATTTTTGGAGTCAGTTTTGGTCATTAAAATCTCACCAAATCTTGAGTGAAGAAACTAAATCGTTAATAAAATTTTTTACAAATTTAATATCAGTTTTAAAGCCTTTCACATTTGCGGTATACAACCATAGTCTATTTGTTACGGCTACCTTTGTGCAAAATATTCCAGCATTAAATTACAAACGTACTTAGATGTGTACATAACGAAATGATATGCATATTAACATTTGTAATGTATGTACATTAGGGCGGTTCTTAAAAAATCGAATAGACGATTTTTTCCAGTCTCACCTCCTCAATCGGTAACATCACGGTCATAGATATCACATACAAATTTTAATCCCGATTGGAGATGGTTAAGGTGTGTCGCACAGAGGGCAAAGTCAGATTTCTCTATGGAGGCTCAAAAATTTAAAAAGATATATATATTTTTTTTTTCATTTATTAACCAAAATCGATACTACTAAAGTCGAAAATATCACATATAAATTTTTTCCCCGATTTGAGTCGATGAACTTTGCCCCCTGTACGACACGAGTTAACCGACTTCAATCGGGACCAAAATTTGCATTTGATATCCTCGACTATAGTAGCATGGACGTAGAGGTTGAAGCTTAGCAAATCGAATGTAAAAATTTGCTTCCTACATTTAAGGACACCCCTAATTTACATACTACATATTACCTTGCATAATCAATGTGCGCTGAAGCGTTATTTTTACATGCCGCACAATCATTGCATGCATATGAAAGGTACTTGCAATTGCCGGTCGGTACACTCAAAATGTCAAACCAATTTATTAGCAGCGACATTAATGCATTTACCACAATAACCCCAAGCGTCAGTGGTTGCAGACGCGCTGAGCTGATTATTGATGTAAAATAGTTAGTAGTGGAAAGCAGCTGACAGCCGCAGGCGACAGCCGACAGCCAACAGCTGATAACCGGAAGCAAGTTGCATGCAACGCCAATGGCTAAATACGGTGCGACAATGTCGCTAAGATTGTGCTAAAGGGTGCTACATCTTGTATGTACTTCAACTAGTGCCTAGTGGAAAAGGGAGAGAAGGATAAGGTGAAGCCACAACTACAACTTAACCAACGCTGAAGTGAGACAAACGCAATCAAATTAAATGCAAAGTGACGGAAACAATGTGGGTGGCATGAAGAGATATCTAACGCGAATCGCAATAAGACAGTATTTAGTAGAACATGACAATAAGTGGGTGTAGATAAAATAGAAGAGAAGCAGCGTAACGTGCTGAAAGCGCACAAATCGATTGAGGTGACTGCTACTTAGGTTAATACCCAGACAGTGGAACTTTGGTGGTCGTCGACGAGTCGCATGCTCTGAACAAGCATGGCATTGCTGGTCATAACACCACCACTTAAAGCTGCCACATTAACATTTTCCCGTTCTCTGCTTATTTAGTATAGAAATCAACAACCTGCATCTCATTCTTTTGACGAGTACTCTACGTCCACTCTGCTCTTCAAGTATTCATTTGTGTTGTCATCATTATTCTCGTTGACTGCTTTCCATCTTCGCACTGCATACGAATGCTTGTTGTTATTTTTATGACATGCAATAACAACAACATCAGCGCTGTCTGAATTATTTGTCTATATAGTCGTATAATGCCATCAATGGCTTTCAGCTTCAATTGCTTTCGATTTGTATTTGGATTTTGATTTCTATTTGATTGCTTCTGTCAATCAGCATGCCCTAGAATCCACAAATATGCTGTGTGTTCTAGCAATTTGTGTTGCTTTGCCGCTTGCACTCTACCCCGCTCTCAATCGTCTTTGTCTACTACACTTCCATCCACTCCAAATGCTTTCCATAATGACCGCAAGCAATACTACTACTTTCTATCAGCTCCAATTGATTCGATCCGAAAGGTATCGTACCTAACTCAATCCCTTTCAATCTCTCACTCCACACACTGTCTGTCGTTCTTCGCCACTCTGACTTTATTCCCTTACTTTACTATTCCACGCAATCTTTCTTCATTTCATATCACTCTCACTAATGCGATTTGTGACGATTTACATTTAATAGCATTGACATTATATTCAGATTTTTTATGTCTGCATTGCATACTCTTAGGCTCGTTTGTGAGCACTTCAAAGCGTCACCACTGGCAATGAATATAATTTTCGTTAGTCCTAAGCCGACAGTAATGCTTTTCCAATTAATGCGATGCACAGCCATATACAAATATTCGAACTCAAACTCATTTAGCGGATTTTGGTAAGAATATTGGGAGTGGAAAGAATTAAATGTGTTTACTTTGTAAATTTGCGCTTAAAAGTATGCTTTGTCATTGCTGATATTTTGTGTTGTTTGCTTGTCTTACTTCACGGGGGGTACACACAAAATTATACAAATGAAAAGTAAATCGATTTTTTTAATGTAATTTTTCTATGCTGATTTGCGAAATAATGTTTACAAATAGCGCTGAAGAGTATTCGTTAATTCAATTACTTGAACACGTAAAATTACAAAAATGTGTGATATATGTATGTATGTACATTAGACTGCATCACCAAAAATAGTTGCGGGTTTTCTGCCGGCATTTCAAAATTTATTATATTTTAAGACGCCCACCAAAATATTTCGGAAAAATATTAAGATTTACGAGAGCTGGACCGATTTGAAAATACCCCCAAAAATGGAAAATAGTTCCTTAAAGAACTTTTTGAAAAAAAGTACCCTCAGATGACAAAACAGATTATTTACGATTACAGTGCTAGTGAGCATAAAATTCTTTACTACTGCCAGAAATTAACTGATGTTTATTCAATTTATACGCTTACTTAACCACATACGAATTTCCAGCTGAAAAAGCATCGTAATAAATTATTTAATTATTTTCATTTAATTACTTACAGCTCTGTGTCGGCGGCTCTTGGATTGACACTGTTACCGTCGAAATGGATCCACTGGATGCGGGCACCGATAATGGTTTCACATTTACTGCGCCCAATTGGCCAACATCGCCACAAGGTGTCATCTATCGCATCACATCACGCTATCCAGCACATCCAGCGAGTAGCTTCTTCTATCCAAAGAGCAAACGATTGCCGCCAATAGCGACATTTCAATTTATTAAGGTAAGTAAGTAAGTAAGCGAACGACGACGACTTGGCGAATCGCTGATGAAAGTAGGCAATTAAATGTGGCAGTGAAGCGAAAGTGGAGCAATGCATACAAACTTATTTATGTATATGCCATTTACAAATATAAATATTTATAGTAAATATATATTTATGTATGTGTGTGTGTGTATAGCTGGCAGTGTATTTGTATATTAAAGTTGTTAATGATAAAATATGCGTCATTTACTACACGCTGCGCTACGTTTGATATGTTGATTAATTGGCCGGCAATAAGGCAGCGCTGGGCTCTAGGCTCTAGGCTTATGTATGTATGGTTCACACACTGTACGCCTGTTAGCGGGCTTGTTTGCTGATTTTGCCCCATTTTTTGTAGCATGTTGTCAGCTGTTGCCGCACTTAATTAACAGCAAATCAGTTGCATTTGCCACAAGCAGCAATTAACGGCGGCCAATATTAATGTGTATGGCATGTGCCACATACACACAGGCACGCGTATATACATATGTTGGTACTATACACACACACATGCTCACTATGGCATGAAAAAGCGCCTAAAACGTGGTCAGCCGTAAAGCTGAAACTAAATAGAATAAAAATGAGCATACTAATGACCCATTAACGGCACCGGCCACCTTTCACTTGCGCAATACAACGGGCCAACGAAGCGCGTATGTGTGTGTGTGACTGAAATAAATAATATAAAAAAAATGTGCGTGCATGAAAATATGTATAAAAAAAAATTCTTATGCCTTCGCACATATTTATGGCCTGTAAGTGGCAAGAAATCACGCAAAATTTTCTACCACAAAATATAAGCGCTGATGTTGCATGCAGGGCTGCCAACTCCGTTAAGGCTAATTCCCCTAAATTCCTGAAAAAGCTCTCCAATTAGCAGTGGTATTCCCCGAAATGATTATTATTCACTTTCATTAAAGTTTTTTTCAGTGAAAACAATATATATATATATATATTAGGGTGGTTCAAAAAAAATATATATAGTCGAAAGTTTGAAGCTCCCACCCCCCCCAGAATTGTTCTAAACTGAAAAAAATTTTTAAATAAAATAAAATATTTAAAAGCCACTCAATGCGCTCAAAGTTTTTGAAGTAAATACTTTTTGATTCAATAAAAATAGGGGTCAAGTTTTTTCGATATAAAAAAATTCTCAGGGGATGAGAGCATTAAAATTCCGACTTTAGTTTTTTTTTCACTTTTTTTCTTGAATTTTTTTTTTCGAAAAAACAGCGAATCTTTTTTAATTTTTTTTTTCAAAACGCGTTTGAAATATAAAGTTGAAAAATTTTTCAAAACCATTTTTTTTTAATTTTTTGAAATTTGATTGACCATTATTTTAAATATGAAAATTTAAATCAGATTTGAAATTTGACTATCTATTTTTGAAATTTTTTCTTTCCAAAACACTTTTGGAATAAAAAATCGAAAAGTTTTTCATAACCGATTTTATTAAAATTTTAATTATTAAATGTCAACTTCCAAAAAAAAGCACGTACTGATCGATTTTCTTCAAAAGTTTCTTCGCAAAAACTATTACGGAACCTTTAAGTCTAGTCCGATGATGGAATAAAAATAGCATATATTTTTTTCGAATGTTTTAGTTAATGAAAAACTTGCAAGCATTGTCTAGCTCAATGCCAAAAACTCTAACTGCGTTAAATCAAATGGTTTAAACAAAGATATAAAGATACTACATCGTAGAGGAAAAAATTCACTACAGAAATGAAGTGGCAAGTACTACCACTTTCGCGTAAATAAATGCAATATTTTCTTTTGTTGAAATATAGGCAGGAAATAATGTTACTCATACGCGATGTACGGGTATCCAAACGTTTAATCAAACTTTAAGGCATCCCTGGCTGCATGCCCAGCACCCACTCCCGCACAAATATATCTGACTCTGCTTACGCTCCGCGGCGACACTACGCCCACACACATTCCGCTTGAGGTAAGGGAAAAAACATTTAATTACATAAAAATTACATGTTAAATGTAAGTGCAGTGATTCCGCACACACATACTCGCGCACATATCCATACTTTATTGCGTCTGCCTTTTTGCGCCCTTTTCTATGCCTTTACAATGAGCACATCCACTTAATTACAGTGTGGCACATCAAAGTAGGGAAAAAAGGGGCGTTGAAATGTTTGCAAATTTATAGTAAAGCGAGTAAAATGGGCGTAGGATGTGCGTGTGTGTATGTGTGCATGTTAGTTTATGCGGCATTGTAACAGGAGGACATTAAAATGCGTTTTAATTTCCGCTTTCGTATGCAATTTTTAAGACTTGATTTAATGTAACTGCTGGTCATTACCGTAAACTTTTGCTGCTCAAATCATTTTTACTGCTGTTATTAAATATTTATGTTACCTTGAGTCTTGATTTGAAGTAGATTTTTGTAGCAATGGCCGTAAAACATAACATTTTTTGTACAGCAAGGATTTTAGGATAATAACCCAGGAGTTTTTGCATTCTCAAGCAAAACTTATTTATATGACATATGTAAGTGATTAGAATCGTTCCCTGAAAAAATTCAATCGAAGTGTTTCTGGACAAAATCTGCATACGAAGACAGACAAAGGACCTCTCACAACTCAAACTCAGTTCGTCAAGCAGACTCAAGTGATCTAGATTCCCAACAAGTAGGTTCCAGCAAAGATCAGCAAAGATCCATGAAAAGATCTATCAAACTACGTGGCTGTCTCTAGATCGAAAAAAGCGAAACCAAATCGATCACGCCATGATAAACGAAAGGCATGTTTTCAGTGCTTTGGGCAGGTTCGAAGTCCAAACATCCACTCGGACTTTAATATTGTTGCAGCGATGATATGCTCCTGCCTCTGTGCCGTAAAAAATGTGCGCCCAAAAAGTTTATTGAAAGTTTAACGTCGATAAGCTGCATTCGATACTCGACCCTCACGCCTGCTCTCATAGAGTACGCTTCAACAAACCGACACAAGCGAAGAACTTCCCTTTCACTAAGTACCGCCGTTGAAGAAGCAGTCTTATTTCAGCGTGGCAGAAAGAACAATTGGTGCGATGAGTAGTGTCAAGGGACTGTAGAGAAAAAACATACCGCCTACAGGGCCAGGCTGCAAGGCGAGCTATGCGGGACCGCTATAGGGAACTGAAGCGGGAAGCAAATCAGAAGGGAGAGGCCGAAATACGTGAGTGCGAAGAGTTTTAAATGCAGGCCGATAGCAGAAAAGCCCGAAAATTCTACCAGAGAGTAAGGCAGGTCGCCGAAAGGTTTCAAGACCAGGGCGTACCCTTGTAAGAACAACAATGGCGACCTAGTTACTGGTGTCCAGAACGTACTTAAATTATATAGGGAACACTTTTCACACTACCGAATGGTAGCGAGTGTATTGTGTAAAAGACTGAAGCCCACCGTCAGCGAACTGATTGGGATACACAGTGTGGCTTTAGACCTGGCAAATCCACCATAGACCGGATATTCACAATACGCCAAATCTATGAAAATACCCGCGAGAAAAGGGTCGACACTCACCCCCTTTTCGTTGACTTCAAAGCCGCCTTCGACAGCACTGAGAGGAGTTGCCGATGTCTGAATTTGGCATCCCCGCGAAACTGTCATAGCTGTGTAAATGACGTTGATAAATCAGAATTGGGAAATATCTCACCGCGCCGTTTGCTACCAAACGAGGTCTCAGACAGGGCGACTCTGTTTCATGTGTTTTCTTTAATTTGATGTTGGACAAGATAATTAGAGCTGCATAACTGACTTACTCAGCAACATTTTTTTTTATGTATACAAGTATACAACTCAGGACCCGTTGGTGGTAGCAGAGGAAGCGGGAGGCCGCCCCACTGCGATGGATAGACCAAGTGGAGAAGGAATTGGCTTCACTTGGCATTCCCAATTGGCGTCAGTACTCTGCACGATCGGATGAGGTATCTAAAATCTGAGACAAAAAATGCTCAACGGGACATATTGGGGGAATTCTGCGATTTATGAAACTAGAAGTAATTATTCAGAACTTTTTATTTTCAGGAACTATAGAGCTATTAAAAATCTACTCAAAGCAGTTTTTTCCTCTTTTTTCCGTCATTCCATTGCCAACTTCACAGACAAACCCCTAACAGCTATTTAAACTGGAGAAAAATGAAATTTTGCAGGCTTATGTAATCGTCCTTTAGTTCTCGCCGTTAACAGTGGTGGTCACCGCTAATGTCATTTTCAAAAAAGTTCGAGCCAATAAGGCCGCCGACCTACAATCGGTACCACGCAGTAACTTTGGTGAATGGTGATGTGGATTAGAGATGCCCAGATCTGGAATTTATGATTGTTGGCATACCAAAATGTCAAGTTCCCAGCAATAAGTACAAATTTATTTACATACATAAAAAACAACTGAGTTTTTTTTTTTGAGATACAAATCTTCTGACTAAATTAAAGACTTCCTAATTTATTCGCAGCTTCTCTATTCAATCGCCGTATATTATAGTAGTTCACTAATTTCACGCAATTAGTTTTTAATTTGTCCACTGTCTCAGGCATTATTCGCTTGGCCCACAACTGCGATTGTTTAGAAATTGTACGACCAAATTTATGAACAGCTTGAGATTTGCCGGCTGCAATTCCATACGTTCTCGTTGCTGCGCCAGCAATGCGTTGATTAATTGACACAATAGGAGCTGAGATTTATAAGCGAATCGAAAATCCCCAAACAAATTACTCAACAACAAGCAATTCAATCAAGCCGGCAAGCGATTAAGGTGATCGAGGTCGAATGGTTGATGAGCACAGTTTTGGCCTTTTGGGAGTGGATAAGATAAATTTATCTACATTAATAGTTATGCATATATGTATATTTCACTTAAACCTTAACGACTACAAATAACCAATGATCACAATGATGGCTGTACATAAAATATATGTATATAGGAACAAAAATATGTACAGTTAGAATAAAATGTACATATATGTATGTAAAGTTAAGACAGTAATTTGTGTC